AATAAGTTTTTTTACTGGATGAACAGTACCGGTTGGCGAATTTTCAACTCTCCTCCATATCATTTTGTTGACACGTTTTATTTTGTCTAATCTATTTTGCTTATTTCTTTGTTTTTAGTCAAAAAATGTTCATCTACTTTGAAATACATTGAAGTGAAAACGACACGTAATCTTGAACAACTTTACTTGTTTATATTATCAATTGAACAAATTGAATTTATATTACAAAATAAGAAAAAATTTGAAATTTATCGCCTATATTTAGATCATAATAATCATCGTAATAGCGAAATAATTATATGAAATAATACAGTATCCTATTTATAAGCGCTAAACGCATTCCTCTTCAGATTGTTTTCGAGTATTACATCGACAGAATCAGCTTTTTTTGTGCGTGAAATGAAGCCTGCTGGACAGCAGCGCAGTTTATTTTAATACATTACAAAACTTTTAACTTTGGGGTAAATAGATTTTTGGTTCATCTCTTTACTTTCTTTATTTTTGGAAAAAAAACAGCGCTGAATATGTTAACTTCATTTCTAATAAATCTAGTTTAAAAAGATGAAAACTATTGAAGTGAAAATGTTGATTAATTTATTTATCATAACTGATTCGTTTTTGTTCATATTTTTCGTAAAAATAACATTCCAATTATTCGAATAAAATTTTTCCAACTCCTCGTGAGAACACTTCTCCAAAACCATGGATAATTTCATTTGTTCTCTTTTATTTGTAAAACATTTACCTTCACCCCGTCTTAATACTTGCATCTGAATCTTATGCATAATTTGTGTAAAATTTTGTTCTGTTACTTTTTTTTGAAGTCATTAAAAGCTTGCTGTACAGCTTCGTTTCCCTGTTTACTAAACATGTGATAATCATGAACGTTGCTGCTCGTATCCTGTTGATCTTTAGCGTCTATTTCAGACCACTCTTCGTTTATATCCATCCATTCACTTTCATTTTCACTATGAATGTTTTGCTTTGTTTGTATTTTGGGATTACCAGCAGAAGCGTTTGTAGCCATTTTAGAGCTTAATTATTAAAAACAAGACAAAAGAGTAAACGAACTATCTAACCTTATGGGGGGGCTTACCTTGACAACTTTTATGTTTATAATTTAATTGAATTTATGGTAAACAAGCTGGTGGTGTTTTTTCTTCTAGTACAAGACGAAATAACTTATCTTAAGCTGAAAAGCACTGTCAGAATAATAATAATTAAAGTTTTTAACATATTTCTACTGCTATGATTCTGCCTGATGGTGGATAAACATGTTCCGCATATGACTTTATTTATATTTATATTCAGATGAAAATCAGTCTACAGCTAGTCCTCCTAATAATCACATACATAATCAAGTTGGCATCAAAGTAATCACAAATGTCCCTACAGTTGGTCTCGATTATGGTGATTATAGTGAAAGTAATCATGTTGAACAAATGCATAGCATTCAAAGATACTATCATACTCAACACGAGTGGGAGCTACATCCTGAAAGCGAAAAACAAATTGGCCGTCATGATTATCATGGAACTAATAATAGTAAGTTTAAAATAACAGAAGACCCCAGTAGGGGAGATACTCCTGAGTCAACTACAATGTCAATTCGATTTCAAATCAAATAATTCTAACGATTCTTTTTCACCATTTCAGTTTTGGTAGAACGACATCAGTAGTATCTTCTGATCAACGATTAATAACTGATTCGACATTATCATCGCCACTTTCAACAGTAGTGCAGCAGTCCACTGATCGGTTAGTCGATGTAACAATTAGAAAAATTTCTCGAGCAATTTTAACATCATCTTCAGCGTTATTAGCTTTGAAAGACATTATTTTAAGGTTTACACATGCTAGTGTGTCAACCCGGACGGCAGCAGTTGGACAGTTGATAAAAGATTGTCTATTACATAAAGATTTTTATTTTGCTACGTTGAACAAGAAAGAGAATACTTTAAAAGCTCAAATCGGTTATCTGAAATATTTTTCTGCCGATTTTGATACTGTTTCGAAAATGAAATTTATTCATACATTACATAAATATGAGTACACATTTTCTTTATGAATGGGCAAAAATTTTAATACAGCAGTAATCTTCATTTTATTGAAATATATATAATTAAATTAAAAACGAAAAATTTTCAACTTCTCGAATCTTGAAAGCCGTGATAATTTTCGAGAGTAACTACGTGTAGAATTATAATTAATAGAAAATCGCCAAAAGAGTTTGAAAGGGTTTAAGAAAACAGAAGATACCTAAGCCACAACACTTTTGGCGTCCAATGGCGCGGAGCGTGGAAATCATTGTTTAATTACCACAACAATCGGAATCGCCGAGGAATAGCTGTGATTACGGCGGATTCACAGATTTTTATGATTCTATCGATAAAATCACGTATTCTTGCAGCATATCATGGTCGAACTTGTTTTTCATGCACATGAGCTTTTTGGCACGACAGCCATGCCACAAGGACAATTCTTGATTTATGGCTTGAGAAGGTCGACAATGGCTTTGTCAAGAATTCAGCCATCGTCGTGTTGGACTAACTTCATTTTTAGGCACAGATATATCTTATTATAGTTTACAACAAGGGCATTTTATAGTTATTCAATTGTCGGTTTTGTGGAAAAAAATCTCTTTATGGCGAAAAAAACGATATTTCTTATTGCGGTGTTATTAAAAGAAATGTGCCACTTTTTTGGTTTACTAATTTTTTTAATGCAAAAATCAATTTAAATCTATTTTTTTAGAAAAGAAATCTGTTTAAATTCACTTTTTTAAAATTCTTTTAGAAAACTCTGCTTAAATTAATTGGTAAAAATTTCACATTAATTCATTGTGTGTAACTTTTTATGCGAAAAATTTAGTTATATTCACTTCTATCTCGATGAATCCGGTTTTTATTTTTATAAAAGACTAGCGGAAGTACCCGATGTCGGTCTAGATAATCTGATAGTACATGTTTGACGTATGAGAAGACGACGTCGCTATGGTCTTCTATGGATTTCCGATCGGGGATATCGCACAATACGCTTGGATCTTTTCCTTCTCAACTTTTAGTATTTGAGATTTTGAGATTTTCATAAATATCTTT